TTATTTATTTATTTATTTAGGTTTATATCCTGCCTTCCCTCCAAAACTGGAATTTGGGTGTGTGTGTGTGTGCTCAAAAGAATATCAGAAAAGGAAATGCAGATAACAACACAGACATTTTCACTAATTTTTTAAAAAATCACACATAGTATTGAAACATGGCTGGTTTCGTTTAAATATTAAGCAGTAAAAGCAACCTGTGCTGTCCTCTGAAGAGGCCCATGGCCACAGAGACTGGCGAAACGTTAGGAAGAGCAACCTTCAGAACACGGCCAAAGAGCCCGAAAAACCCAGAACAACCATTAGATCCTGGCCGCGAAAGCCTTTGCGAATATAAAAAATACAATAATGCATCATATTTAGACTCAATACAAAACAGACTGATTATAATTAAACGTGCGTTCTTAACTTGATTCCTGAAGTGATTTCATCTTCCGTTCTCTTATTGTGCAACCTGCTGCACCGAATTTTACAACCGTCGCTCTAATTTCACTCAAGGAATCAAACAGGAGGGGAAAAGAAACAGATGTGGTTTTAATTGTAATCTTTCAGAGCTCAATGTCCTTGGAATCATTTATGCCTCTGCATCCGTATATCAGTCCATACCTTGAATCTCAAAACATTTCGTGTCTTATGGTAGTATTGTTTGAGTAGCCCTATGCATACTGTACAAAAACATTTTGGGATATTTACAAGCTGAAAGTTGAGGTTCTCCTTCCCAGCAGAAATGGCAAGTGACTAGCTTTGGCTTGTGAGCCCTACAAGACAGCCATAAAAAGAGCCATTTCTGGGGTGAAGGATACGTGAGGAAAATGTTGGATGCTTCTACATGCCTTGTTGCTAATTTTATTCCCCTCCCTCTCTTCCCCCTCTCTTTTTTCCCTCTACAGGGTGGGAAGAAATTTTATCAAGGTCCTTGTGGGGGTCGAGACTGCAGTTCGGGATGCAGATGTTTTCCAGAGAAAGGTGCTCGGGTAAGTGGGTCCTTTATCTTTGGCGAAGAGAAACAGTCCTCAAGGTTCTTATCTTGGCTGCCTTTTCCGGGAGGAGAACAAAGTCATGATGCTTAAGACTCTGTCTAGTCCATTCATAGCGGGAGGGGAAGTGAGGAAGACCAGCTGCCCCCCAAATGCCAGACATGCCCAGAACTTTGAAATCTCAACTGGAAGGGATTTACAAGCGACAGTCTCTAGACAGGGTCAGGGAGCTAACTGGAATTCAGAATAAGGTAGACTGCTATGACTCCTTATCGGGGAAAAGATCTTATGTGTTCCTCCCTGGGTGTATCGGAGATAAAACCATCATGGAAAGGTCCTGTTTATGACCTGCAACCAAGACTCTGCTCATGACCCAATGGGCCCAAGTAGCTTACTCAGGGTTGACTCCATCTTCCTCTGAAGTCAGTAAATTTGGTACCCAGTTTGTTAGGAGGGCAATGTGTAGCCTGCATAATTAAACTGTAAGCCACCCAGAAAGCGCTTTAAGCATTATGGGGTGGTATATAAGCAGCCCAGTTTGCTTTGCTTTGAGCTTGTTGTCCTCTTATTAGCAAGAGTAGGAGCGCCTTGCTTGCAACCACAGGATGGGAGGACAAGTTTTAGTTTAGCTGAGGCTAACGCTCAAATTGGTTATTTTGGGTTTTTTAAAAAAATTCTTAAAATACAGTGGTGCCTCGCATAGCTATAGAAAAGATCTTATGTGTTCCTCCCTGGGTGTATCGGAGATAAAACCATCATGGAAAGGTCCTGTTTATGACCTGCAACCAAGACTCTGCTCATGACCCAATGGGCCCAAGTAGCTTACTCAGGGTTGACTCCATCTTCCTCTGAAGTCAGTAAATTTGGTACCCAGTTTGTTAGGAGGGCAATGTGTAGCCTGCATAATTAAACTGTCAGCCACCCAGAAAGCGCTTTAAGCATTATGGGGTGGTATATAAGCAGCCCAGTTTGCTTTGCTTTGAGCTTGTTGTCCTCTTATTAGCAAGAGTAGGAGCGCCTTGCTTGCAACCACAGGATGGGAGGACAAGTTTTAGTTTAGCTGAGGCTAACGCTCAAATTGGTTATTTTGGTTTTTTTTAAAAAAATCCTAAAATACTGTGCTATGGAGGAAGGGCATGGCCTATGAAGCCCTTGGCACCTCCAGAGATAAACCTTGGTGTCTAGAAGTTGCCCAAGTTTGAGTCACCTGGAGGTCTGGGCAGTGAGTAGGAAGCAGAGCAGATGTTGGGATGCAAGCAGCTGTGCCCTGTCTTGGAGCAGATGTCCAGAGAAAAGACGCGACTCTCGGGAGAAAACGGTGCCGTCTTTCTCTCTGGATTTTTTTAATCTGCCAGGTTCTTCCACCCAAACCACCTGCCATTAGTAACAGATCCTTTGGGCTTCAACCAAGATCACAGCAGACTCCGCTTGGCGAGAGTAGAATTTCCCACCGATGAGGTCATCTCTGGGGTCCTCCTGGCCGGTGACCCACCCTTCTGTCTCTTCCGATTTCTGGGGTTCAGCCGGATTGTTTGAACTGGCCACAACGCTGTTGACCTTGCAGTTCAAGCTTTCTGCTCCTCCTTTTGTTAAGATGTCACAAACATTTTCTTTTGTTTTCGTTGCTAACCTGGGAACTGGGATGAACTTTCGCTTTCTTTCTTACGGGGGGCCTCATTGGTTAGGTCTAGTCACCGGTCAAATGGCATATAATAGAAAAATGGTGGCATCACATCCATAGAGAGAGGTACATGGATTGTGACCTCCAGATCTTGAACTTCCAACTCCTGTGACTTTCGTAGCACACTATTGTCTCTCCATGCATGTACAACTTCTCCACCTAATTTCATATAGACAGCTGCCATTGTTGTCTATTTGTACAGTACTTTCATCTTTTATAGTCATTTTATAACTTACATTTCTGCATATTCTTTGTTGTAAACTGCCCAGAATAGTGATTTCTCTAAATGGGAAATATATAAAATGAATGAATGAATTGCAGAGTAGATTCTACATTTGTCTTGGAATTTTACTCTTTTGTAACCCTTAACTTTATCTGTGGTATGTGTGTGTACGTACATATTGGTTGAGGGAATGTAGCCCGCAATATAGAGTAATACATTTCAGGGCCATTTCTCAAAAGTATTCAATTGCCATCGCAGCCGGTTTATCACACACTGGTTGTTAATCTGAGACCAGTCTGTTTCCGACCGCTGTCTCTGGCAATCAGAGATCATTACTTACTTATCAGATGCATTTTATCTCTTAGTCTACAGACCACATAACTAGGCTTCTGTCACTTTGCCCCATGCTGAGTTTTTGATGTTGCTTCTGCCGGCTTTTTTCTGTGGTATTTGTTTGATCTTTTAAAGTATTTGTATACTTATTGTTTTTAACTTTAAATATTGTCTTCTAATGTTGCAAACCATCTTCGGTCCTTCTTTAAAAAGGCAGGGTAAATATATTTTGAATGAATGAATGAATGAATGAATGAAGGAAGGAAGGAAGGAAGGAAGGAAGGACGGAAGGACGGAAGGAAGGATGGACGGACGGACGGACGGACGGACGGACGGACGGACGGACGGACGGACGGACGGACGGACGGACGGACGGACGGACGGACGGACGGACGGACGGACGGACGGACGGACGGACGGACGGACGGACGGACGGACGGACGGACGGACGGACGGACGGACGGACGGACGGACGGACGGATCAATAGATATGGAAAGGGAAGAAGGAGAAGCTGTTGGGTTGTGGTTCACATCTCCCATCCACTAGAGTCCTTCCATCACTACCCAAAAAAATTCACCTGAAAATGGACAGATGGACATTTTAACACTTTCCTTCCAGAAGTTTGCGGTTGTTTTCCATGACACTCAGCTGTTGGCCCCGATGGCTGGAGCTGATGGGAATTGTCATCCAAATCCTCTGAAGGGCACCATCTTGTGGAGACTAGCTCCAGCCCACGTCAATTTTATGTTGTGAGCCACAGAAGCTGGGGAAAACTCTTGTTCCCCGCCTCTAGACAGCTTACCGCTGAGCTGAAAAATCTGTGTAGCTTCATTGAAAGCTTATCTTTTCGAAAGAGACCATCGGCCAAACCAGGGATATTAACACTGAACAGATTTTCCATCTGGTCGTCATTGACCTGTAAACTTAAGCAAGCTTAACTCCCAGAGTTTTTTGTTTGTTTGTTTTTTGTCTTCCTTCAAGTGGGTCCCTTTCCTGCTTTGTGAGCATATTACTAGAAAAGTTTTGTGGAGGGGGAGGTCAGGAGATATCTCCCTGACCGTTGCTTTCTCAAGCCATTCAGAAACAGTAGGGTCTTACGTAGGCTTACATACACAGCTGGAGAGGCTCCTGGCCATGTTGATCTCTTTCCCCGCCATGGACTTTAAGAGCCTCCAAGCCCTTCTGTTCTTTCTCCTGATGCCTGTTGTCTTATCTCTGATGATAGCTTCTCTAAACATCTCTGGAAGTGCGAGCCATCGCCTTTTCTCCTTTCCTCCTAAGTACAGGTCATGTGAATGTTGCTTTCGGTTCTTCTCAGTCCCATCAGACGTTTGGGAAAGAGTGTTAAAATAATACACCCGTTTGTAAGAAAATGGCTTGTACCTTACCTAGGCAGATCTTGATTTATCTCAACCTTCCTTTCTGGAGATACAGCGGTGCCTCACTTAGCGATGTTAATCCATTTTGGAAAAAATGTCGCTAAGCGATTTCATTGCTAAGTGATTTTAAAAAGCCCATAGAAATGCATTAAAACGCGTTTAATGCGTTCCTATGGGCAACTCATTTCTAAAATATATATCTCCAGAAAGGAAGTTTGAGATAAGTCAAAATCTGCCTATATATATATAGATATATAATGTACTGTTTTCCAGAACAGTATTCATAGAACTGACAAGTCGCAAGAGTCATTTAATTTGGCAATTTTTTTATCCAGACCCTCCACTACAAATTGTGTTCAAAATGGTTCAAGATGGTTAACTATTTGGTAAATTTGTTTGGAAATGTTTGGTACCCAGGCTTTCCACTACAAATTGTGTTTGTACAAATTGATTAACGATAGTCTAGAACAAATTCAAAATGAAATTAGAACTGCTGGATAGCTCGGTGGTTTAGATCTCTGGACTGTGGAACCAGAGGTTGGGAGTTTGATTCCCCTTGCTTCATCCACTCTCTACCTTTTCAAATCTGGTTGCTACATGTGGTTTTAACATTCATTTTAAACACTGTTGACCCGCTGAGATAACTTTTCGGATAATGTACAGCTCCTAATCCATAACAAATGTTAGTCTTTTCAATATTTGTCAGTGGAGCTTAACTCGAGCCTCTAGAGAAACCATGATATCTTTCCCCCTCAGTGGGCAGACGGAAGAAAGAGTGCTGTTGTTTTATTTTGGAGATAGAAAGGAATTATCTCCAAAGTTGAGAAATCTTGACCATTGTTTGCTGTTCTTTGACACGTCTTTGGCAAACGTTCAAGTGAAAATGAGGCAACAGTAACTCAAACCCACAAGGCCAATTATTATTATTATTATTATTATTATTATTATTATTATTATTATTATTATTATTATTATT